TAAAAATGCACTAGTGTATTGCCTTAAAAAACAAAACTAATTGGGGTGCCTTGGTGGCACAGTTGGTTGAGTGACCAACGCTCAGTATCTTCTGGCTTGGGTCATGATCTCAGGGTCATGAAATTGAGCCCCACCAAGACAGGCTCTGGAGCCGAGTCTGCTTTGGACTCTCTCTCCCTCTCCTTCTGCCCTTCCCCACTGTGCATGCACATGATCTCTCTATACCACTCTATCTAAAATAAATAATCTTTAAAAGCATATATATATATGCTTTTAAAGTGTATATATATAACTAAAATATATATAAATAAATATATAAATAACTTTATATATAAATAAATATAGAATTTCATATATATAAAGTATATATATATAACTAATCTTTCCAAAATGTTTTTTTAAATACATCAACTGCAAGGTTCTCTTTTTCTTTTAATGCATTTTAAACTTACACAGTTTTATTTACTCCTCCTTTGTTTTTTTCCCCTCCTTCTTGATAACAAAAGGTAACTTGCAATTTATTATTAAAATTAAAAATTACAATTAGTTTCCACTTTTTATCACTTACCCTAAATTCTCTATAAGCAAATTGAGGGGGTTTTTTTAAAAGATTTTATTTATTTATTTGACAGAGATCACAAGTAGGCAGAGAGGCAGGCAGAGAGAGAGGAAGAGAAGCAGGCCTCCTGCTGAGCAGAGAGCCCGATGGGGGGCTTGATCCCAGGACCCTGGGATCATGACCTGAGCCGAAAGCAGTGGCTTTAACCCTCTGAGCCACCCAGGCAACCCGCAAATTGAGTTTTTTGTTTTGTTTTCTTTTCTTAAGAGCAAGAGGGAGAGGGATGGGGGACAGGGAAGGTTATAGGGAGAGAGAGATAATCTTAAGCAGGCTCCATGCCCAGCATGGAGCTCGATGTGCATCTCAATCTCATGACCCTGAGATCATGACCTGAGCCAAAATCAAGGGCTGGACACTTAACCAACCGATTGAGCCACTCAGGCGCCCCTTTACACAAATCCTTTAACCTTCCTCAGAATAATCCTTCAACTCACGTTTTCATTTGTACTGATAAGATAGCTTGCTTGTATGCACAAAATGAAGACACTGCTACATACAGAGGCATACAAAAAGCTAAAACATGTTCTTCTTTGAGTCTCATTTTCCATGCTGTTACCTCTTCTCTAAGTCCAGATATGATCCCGGTGGTGACAGACACACTAATTACCTACCAATATCTATTCCCACTTCTTCTTTACTATGAGAACCCCAATTTTACTCAGGCAGCCATGTTAACCAGCCCCAGGAAACTTATCATGCTTATTATAACAATCTTTTCCCCCTCCTTTCCCCACCCTCCCTTACATATAGGGGTGTCTCAGTGAGAAATCTGCATGATAATTCCAGAGGATGAGAAGGAAATCAACAGAGGGAAGGAGATAGCTATTCCGAAAACCATATTTTCCTGATAAAACAGATAGCTGGCATTTCCCTTCCCACTGACTGGGAATGCCCCAGCCCTACTAGGTCTCCCTGTCATCACTGCTCGACCTGATCAGTGCCCGCAACCACCTACTCACTGCTCTGTGGGTATTGCAGCAGAAAGCTTTCCTAACTGATTAACTAACCTTCCCTCAATAAATCTAAACAGCGGTCAAGCTGTAATAGCACAAATGAAATAGGACCAGGCAGTATAGAGCCATCTCCAGTCTCTGACCTCCCATGACAAACTCTCCAGAAGGAGAAAAAGCTACTCCAGAAGGAGGACTGGTACTTTTGATTCCACCTGACCCTATCACCACACCTCAGAATGCAATCCATGTGGCAGCCAGATGACCATACTCTTCCAGCCTGTGCAGAACAGACTAGAAAAGTAAAAACAATGTGAATTTCAACCCCTATCCTCCAATGACCTTCACTAAGGTTCCCTGTAAATTATGAAACATAATTCCAGGGGCACCTGGCTACCTCAGTCAGTAGAGCAACCAACCCTAGATCTTGGGGTTTTGAGTTTGAGCCCCACACTGGATGTAGAGATTACTCAAAAATAAAATCTTAAAAAAAGAAAAAAAGGAAGAAATATAATTCCAATAAAGGGACTAAAATTTTACCTCATTTCCAACTTTCCTTCAGCTTGTTGAAGGTTAGTCACTGGCATTTTAAACAGTACATTTCATTTGGACAACCTGAGTGAACCAATGTCTTAATTATCAGTGTTAGCATCAAAGGTATTTCAGTGTTCAGATTTCCAGTGGTCTCATATACTTATGCTTACGTTCTTTTTTACCATTTATTTAAGATCCAAATAAGTTCATCACATTGGAACTGACCAATACGTCTTTTTTCCTCAGCTTTATTGAGATATAACTGACATATAACATTGTGTAGGTTTAAGGTATACAATGTGATGAGAGCAATATACCTTTCAAATCCCTTTTAATCCAAAGGTTCCTTCTCCAACTCTAACTTCAAGAATTATTTGTTGTCATTTGCCACAGTTCGTATTTTGTTTACTGCATCTCTCTGGTATTGTTTAACAATACTCTATATATGTTGTAACTATATATGTTGTAAACTTCTCTCTTCTCTATGTATGTTGTAAACTAGTAGTTGGATCTGAAAGCTTGATTACACTCAGGCTTGACTAGTCTTCCATGAGGAGGTACCACAATGACTAGTTTTCTTTTTGTGATGTTAAGCCTTTATGTTTATGAGCTATTTTCACTCATGATACTTCTAACATCAAATATTTGGGTTTTCCATAACCGAGCAATTTTTTAATTCCCTATCGACACCAACTGGGTATCAGACACTTAACTATCAGGCGTTAGCTCAGACTCCACAGGTTAAGGGCTCAGACCCACAAGACTGCCCACCCCCCCACGTCAAGGCCTGAATCACAAGTCCTAGAACTCTGGGACTATTAATACTACTACTACTTCTGACCCACTGAGCAACTACAAAACAGGAGTTCCCACACACCCCTCCTCAAGTTCAATAATTTTGCTAGAATGGTGCCAAGAACTCAGGAAGGCATTTTACTTACTATTACCAAATTATTACAAGAATAAAAGATACAACTCAAGAAAAGACTGGGGAGGGTTCCATGGCACACCACCTTCCCAGCACCTTGTGTTCACCAACCCAGAAACTCTCCAAACCCTATCATTTGGAAATTTTTGTAGAGATCCCATTACATAGGCATTATTGATTAAAGCACTGGCCATTGGCAATTAACCAGTTACCAGCCTCTTTCCCTTCCTCAGAGGTTGGGGGGAATGGGTGAAGCTGAAAGTTCCCACTCTATAATCATATGATTGGCCACCAGCTCCCATCTGAAGCTTTCCAGGGCCCCACCAAAAATAATCACATTAGCATAAGCTCAGGTATGTTTGAAAGGTGCTGATTATGAATAACAAATGATACGCCTGGCACCTCTATTAACTTGGGAAATTCCAAAGGTTTTAGAAGCTCTTTGGCCAAGAATCAGGACAAAGACAAAATACGGATTTCTTATTATATCACAGTATTCAATGCCTAGGTCCATTAGATTGCTGGGGTTTTTAATTTGATGATATTCTATCAGTCCTTCTTCATTTATTATTGCTGGAATACTCCTGTAAAAAGACCTATTTGTTACTCAGTAACATAGTTCATATAGAAAAAGAAATTTTTCTCAACTCATTTTCAAACTAATGAGTTGCTTCTCTAAATTTTCCTACACTGCCAATTAGCTGCTTTTCATTTCTTTATATTACAGACTTAAGAATCTAAACATAGTTCACAGGTTTTAATCTACTGTCATTATTATCTTATTGGTGGTCAGTGTGTCTCATCTTTGGCCAGTGGGAACCTGTTCAGGTTGACTCCTGAGTCCTAAGTGGTCTTTGATAACTTCCTGGTCATCTGATATGTTTCACACTCAACTTAAAAATTTCCTGCACCAGTGCTAGAAGCAGCCATTTCCCCAAAAACCCTCATTCCTCTTAGTAGGAAATGGTGTCTGGTTTTCACAATTTGAAAGTAATGCCTGTCCATTCATTTATCAAACATTTTCTGCGCACTTAATGTGTGCCAGTCACTAGATTTGGCTTTGAAGATACAAAGATATAACACAAACTCACAAAGCTGACAAACTTATGGCATATACTGAAAATAGATAACAAGCAATACAGAACAAAGAAAATAAATTCCAGGCAAAATAATCTATTTGGAACTTATCTGGTCATGGAATACACTTTGATCTAACTAGTATCCTTAGAGAGAAATAAGAGAGAGAAGTGACTCATAATGACACAGTTAAAGACAGACTCAAAGGACTATACATATACTACGCCTTGACTAGAAGAACAGAATTGAATCAGTCTCCAGACCTATAAGTACTCTTGCTCATGAAGGTTAATCAGAGCAGGGGAGGAGGAGGACCAAATTTATTTTCAGATGTCCAGAATTACCCAAAAAACCAAATGCCTCCCATAGAATGTTAAAGGTCCCTTCCAAATAAGGAAATCTTTCCTTCCCAAGCACAGATACACTTACTATCAGTGTGTTTATGTTGAATAACATACTGTTGCAAAGATTAAAGTGAAATACTTCTCAATCAAAATGTATTTTGAAATGTGTAACTTTTCCATTCACTAAAATTTAATTTCAACTAGAAATGACTTACAAAGCACCTTACCTTTTGCCTTTTTTAATTAAATATCCCTCTTCCCCATTTCTATTTACATCCTTCCCTCTGTTTCTTAAACTTCTTTTTTCCTGACTTTCTGCAAAACACAGCTTATCTAGGAATCTCACTTAAGCCAATGACAAAGGGATAGAAAAGACAAAAAGAAACTGCTTCCTGTGTTAATCTTAAAAGGAAAATTCATTTAAAATAGCATCTAATATTCTGCATTCTCACAAAGAAAAGTTAAATGTTAACCTGTTTGAAAATGTTATATGCTATAAATAAGTTATAAAAAAGGACATTACAATGGAAAAGAATTAAATCTCCCACCTTTCAGCACTAAATGCTGACTCTGTGTCGACGTACACAACAGCTCCTTCTAATCCTCCCATGTTGGTGGGTAACGTGGCCAAAATGCTCATCATTATACAAAACTGAGTTTTACCACAACCTGATGGGCCTGTAATCTAAAAAAAAAAAAAAAAAAAAAAAAAAATTACTTACATAAATATCACAAGTAGTCAAAGCAAAATCCTTTTAAGAACTTGACACTTGCACAGTCCCACTAACCTGGGTTCCTGGAGTTCCTTAATAAATCTTAACATTCCTTAGAATGTTCCTTAAATATTCTAATACATCCATTGTAAGGAATTAAGTCCTTCCCTATATGTCCTAATTGATACTAGATACCATCTTGGGGAAAAATGAGAAAATAGTCATTCAAATCATGCTCTGTGTTCTGTAGTTCAAATGAAAAGCTTTGGTTAAGAGACGCTAGAGGGTGCATATACACATTTAGAACTGGGAGTTATGTATTTTTCTCATTAAGACATTTATAAAAGGAACTTGAAAATATTTAAGAGGCTTTAATAATTGGTTTAGCATTTCTTATGCGTTGGCCTTTTAGAACAATTTTGTACTAGTCCCTTAAAAAGCTACTTTGATCTTTATTGTGAACAGTAAAGAATTTAGGAGTGAAGAGTACTGATGTATACAATTTATTTTCAAATGCTTCAGCAAAAAAAAGTGTGTGTGTGTGTGTGTGTGTGTGTGTGTACAGAGAAAGATTAAGCAACTGTAACAAAATTCAACAATGGTTGACTCTAGGTGATTCATACTTTGAAGTGTGTTTTGAAATTTTAGTTGGTGAAAGCTATTCTAAGATTACAAAATTTGGAAATCAAGAGGATAGAGATAGAAAAAAATAGGAAATTCTCAAGTACAACTAGAAGTAATGAATAAAAATTAATTTGAGGGGCGCCTGGGTGGCTCAATGTGTTAAGCATCTGCCTTCGACTCAGGTCATGATCTCAGGGTCCTGGGATGGAGCCCTGCATCGGGTTCTCTGCTCAGCAGGGAGCCTGTTTCCCCCTCTTTCTCTGCCTGCCTTTCTGACTATTTGTGATCTCTGTCAAATAAATAAATAAAATCTTTTAAAAAATTAATTTGAAAATGTTAAAAAAAAATCCCCTTTAGGGGTGCCTGGGTGGCTCAGTCATTAAGCATCTGACTTCAGCTTAGGCCATGATCCCAGGGTCCTGGGATGGAGCCCCAAATGGGGCTCCCTGCTCTGAGGGAAGCCTGCTTCCCTCTCCCGCTCCCCCTGCTTGTGTTCCCTCGTTCACTCTCTCTCTCTGTCAAATAAATAAATAAATGGTCTTTAAAAAAAAAAAAATATATATATATATATATATATCCCCTTTAAACATATGCTATTTGTCACACTGGCTGCCGCATCCAAATATTAAGAACCGAAACACTATCCCTTTTGTAAAAGTAACACTAATAATTGTAACACAATTTTTCACAAAGGAAGGGAAAGAACAAGAGGGAAGGAAGAGAGAAAAAAAATCTCAGAGACGAAAAAGTCTGAGCTAAGACTTAGACAGACTATAAATATTTGAATAAACTGTCTTAAATACATCATGAAGTAGGGAGAAATAAGCAGGGATGACCCATGAGTCTACATCACTTGTGCCAGTGGTTCTCAAACAAGTGAGCACTGGAATTGCCTGGCAAGCTTATTAACTGGCATCCCTGGTTCACTAGGTCTGGGATGTGGCCTGAGAATCCACATTTCTAATAAATTCCCAGGTGATGTTTATGCTGTTGTACACTTTTGAGAACCATAGTCTAAAAATTTAAACTAAAGCTAACCTTCATTTATCAAGGCTCAACATTAAAAAACAAAAGCTCACAAGTTAGAAACCATGTGCTGATTTATTATAATCTCTAAACAGTGATTTAGACTTTCAGAATAAATTGTTGATACCAATAACAGTTTGCCAGATCATGAGTCATCAGTGGAAAGGGGTCTCCAAACTTTTTTGATTACATAGTCTGACCAACCAAAAACAAACAAAATTTATTATGGTCTTCCAATGTACACATATTTATTATATACATACTATTTTACTAAAACATTCTATACAATATAAAGCATATATAAAATAGGGATTAAAACATTTAAAATAAGCATTTAAAATAGTTTCATATCCTTTTTTTTAAAGGTTTATTTTTATTTTTATTTTTATTTGTTTATTTGACAGAGAGAGAACACAAGCAGGGGGAGTGGGAGAGAGAAAAGCAGGCTTCCCACTGAGCAGGGAGCCCAATTCGGGGCTTGATCCCAGGACCCCAGGATCATGACTTAAGCTGAAGGCAGATGTTTAACAACTGAGCCACCCAGGCACCCCTATTTTGCTTAAAGATTTTATTCATTTATTTGAGAGACAGCATGTACACAAGCACACATGAACAGGGTGGGGGACGTGAAGGGGGGACAGTGGCTGAGGGAGAGGGAGAAGCAGACTCCCCGCTGAGCAGGGAGCCCCATTGAGGCTCCATCCCAGGACCTCGAGATCATGACCTGAGCCAAAGGCAAACACTTAACTGACTGAGCCACCCAGGTGCCCCTCATATCTTATTAGTTGTACATATTTTTTTTAAGATTTTATTCATTCATTTGAGAAAGACATACAGAGAAAGAGACACAGAGAGAGAGCATGAGCAGGGGGAGAGGCAGAGGGAGAAGGAGAAGCAGATTCCCCGCTGAGCAAGGAGCCTGATATGGGGCTCGATGCCAAGACCCGGAGATCTCGACTGAGCCAAAAGCAGATACTTAACTGGCTGAGCCACTCAGGCATCCCCAGGTCTTTTTTTTTTTTTTTTTTTTTTTAAATACAGACTTACTTGAGAGAGACGGAGTCGGGGCAAGGGGGAGGGGCAGAGGAAGAGAGAGACTCTCAAGCAGATTCCCCACCAAGCAGGGAGTCCAAAGCAGGGCTCAATCCCACTACCCTGAGATCATGACCTGAGCCAAAATCAAGAGTCCAACACTTAACTGTCTGAACTACCCAAGTGCCCCCAGATCTTTTCATTCTCATAAAAACCTAACACTTTTAGTGAAACAATGATGATAATAATGAAAATAACAAATGAAATTATATTATTATTTAAGTATTTGTCATTCAGTGATTGAAATGTCAGGTCCTAGGTTCCAAATATTTCAGTATTTACATGCAATGGCGGTTTAGTTGAGAAAGGGATAACTGCAAAAACGTAAGAACTGAAATTTTTAAAATACATCACTCATTCTTACTATTTTCATTTTTCAATAACTTCCATCAATTAGCAAAAGTTTTTATTGAACTTTGGCTAATAAATTTCCATCTTTCCTCATGCCAATCAATTGTTCTTACAACATAATCAAAAGATACTGCATTTTAAGATTTTTAACAATTGTTTTAAAAATAAAAACTCTTTATTTGGAAGATTTTTCAACAGTATAGCAAATATTGTTACAGGTTTTTTAAGTATGCAGATAACAAAGTTTTCACAAAACACAGTTATCTTTGACAACAAAAATAACATTGTAAAAGAAACATTTTCAAGCAATGATTCTTAAAAACACTCTGGGGGCGCCTGGGTGGCTCAGTGGGTTGAAGCCTCTGCCTTCGGCTCAGGTCATGATCCCAGGGTCCTGGGATCAAGCCCCAAATCGGGCTCTCTGCTCAGCGGGGAGCCTGCTTCCTCCTCTCTCTCTGCCTGCTGCTCTATTTGTGATCTCTGTCAAATAAATAAAATTTTTTAAAAAACACACTCTGTATTTTAATCTGTCTTCAAAAAGGCACTGACTTTCTCACTCATTATTAAAACATTACCTTTACTTTAGATTTACTTTAGATTTTTTTTTTTTAATTTGACAGAGAGAGAGAGATCACAAATAGGCAGAGAGAGAGGAGGAAGCAGGCTCCCCGCTGTGCAGACAGCCTGATGGAAGCAGGAAACATTACCTTTACTTTAGATTTTTTTTTTAATTTGACAGAGAGAGAGAGATCACAAATAGGCAGAGAGAGACCCACTGAGCCACCCAGGCACCCCTACACACCAGGTTTTATATACTTTCTAAAATTTAATGAGCTTAAACCCCTTAAATCCTTTGAGATTTTTAGTGGAAAGGTAAAACAGGCCATTATTTTAATTAAAATGATACACATGAACACATTCAGTAATATATTAAGTCTCATGAAAATGTAAGGTATTCTCATTATTCCATCTTTAAAGAAAACATGTAAAAAAAATCTGAAAACTTAAACAAGTAGAACTAGTATTTTTTCTACTTCATTATTTTCACATACTATTCAGCATAGTCTAGGGAAAAATAGAACATTATGTGAATAACATTATAAGATTTCTGGGGTTGTTTGTTTTGTTTTGACTTTGCATTTGAAGTTGGATAATTACATTAATTTAAGCTAAAATAACTAATTTCTAATTCTTTAGCAATCTCAGATCATCTTCATACATTTTTCACTCTCTTTCTAGACTCAAAAAAATTTATGCTGCATGCAATTCTGATGGGCTGACTGGAGTTAAATTTCATTATTTTTTCAGGTTTACTTAGTGGGTTAAAACATTTCAACATTAATAATTTTTAGCTTCAGATAGTTTAGCTCTGAATTCTCCCAAGCCAAACCACAAAGTTTCAAGTTGTGTTCAGTTCCCAGGTTCAGCTCCAATGTTGGTTAGAAAGAGAGAACATGCCAAACCAGAATAGTCTCAGGTAGTTGTTTCTTGGAAACTCTAGAGTGAATACAACATTTACACACAGAAAACACCAGTAAAATACAATTAGCTTCATATAGTTTAGATTCTGGGCTTCAACCCTGCCTGAGAAATAAAAGAACTGAAAGAAAATAACCAGTGGTGAGGATCACTCAAATATCAACAGGAAAGCAAATATTAATAATTAGTTTAAAGGAGAAAGAGAATTATTCCTAAGCAAAGAAAGTCTAGTTGTACTGAAGTAAAAATGAAGCCTAGTCATTCTAATCTTTAGAGAGACTGAATGGTTGAGATGAATGCGAAACCTGGACCTGATAGGACCTAAAACCAAGTTAACTCTCCTCTCACTGAAGATGGGGGCAACAGGATGGGCCATCTGCCAAACCAATACTTCACGTGA